ATTTGAGAAGATTGACGACCATGTGGGCTCTTCTCTTGTGATCAGGGACTTGTCCAGTAATTCTCTTTACGCTTGTATACCCTTTTCAATCTCCAAACTCAAACAGCTTAAAGATTTGTAAGTTATACTGCTTGCTCCCGAGGATATGCAGTTCTAAATGAAATAGAGTCCTTTTTGCGAGAATATGCATCATCATGAATCTATCAATGTAGGATTTTGAAGAATAATCAGTTGGGCCCAATATCTTCAACTTTGTCTCAGGTTCCAAATCTCAAAACTCTGTGAGTTAACCTTATCTTTAGTGTATTGTGTCTAATTCTAAATTGGTGCCTTTTTCAGGTTTGATGACCTAACACACTATTATCTTATAAACTTGTAACCTGTTTTCTTAGGGATCTTGCCCAGAACCAGCTTACAGGCGAAATACCTAGGTTAATCTGATGGAACGAAGTTCTGCAATATCTGTGCCCATTTGTTTCATCCAAGTCTCCGACCCATATTTCTTTTTTGTGATTTGATGACGTTTTATCTTTCACTTTTTCCTTGGTCAATTGATTCTCCAACATCATAATTCTTTTTTGCAGGGGGTTGCGAGGCAACTCGTTGACTGGAACATTATCCCCTGATATGTGCCAATTGACTGGCCTTTGGTATTTGTGAGTATGCTTTGTAGTCTGTACCACCAAACAATGTTCTTATTATCCATTATAGTTCTAAATGTTTAAGCTTAAATATCTATTTTCTCGTTACAGTGATGTGAGGGGGAATAACCTTACAGGAACAGTCCCTGATAGCATTGGAAACTGTACTAGTATTGTTTGTTTATCATATTAAACAAAAAGTAAGTGTGGCATATTAAAATTATTTTCATACATAGAAAATACAAAAGAATTATAGACAAAATTGAACACATCTATAATTATAGACAAATTGAACTATTACTTTTCACCTCATTCAATTACCTTTATTTAAATCTTATATATATATATATATATATATTTTTTATAAATGAACATAAAAATGATACACCAAAAAGATAAAACATTACAAAAGAAGAGTCTAGTCAAGCAAGTAAGCTTGTTAAAGATATTTTAAACTTCATAGCTTGATATGATTATCACATATTTGGATGAGGTGTTTATGTAATCAGATTTGAATTTTACAATCTACATTTGATTAATAACAAAACAAATATATATATATATATATAGGTAGTTACATGTAAAGACAAAAAACACATAATTTGGATACATTATTACTATCATTATCATCATCTAGAATTGCCACATGCTTAACATGTGAACACTTACTAGTGATAAAAAATTGTTATATTTCTTAGCATATAAAGATATATGAAAAGAGGAAGAAATGCRTGGCAACCATGTGAAGAGGGAATGGTTCCTTGCAAGAAAACCAAAGGGATTTGTGTGCTTCCAAAAGTGTAGATCCTTTATGTTTGCCTCGGGTTAGAGGGTGAAAACCCTAGAGATTTTGAGAGAAGTTTTTCTACATTTAAGCCCTGATTCTTTTAGAGTATTATCTTGCACTTGGGCTTGTGCTTGAGTTGTCCTTGTTCTATTAGCCTACTAAGAGGCATATCCATGTATTTAAGTTTTAATATAAGATTTGATGTCAAAGAGAGGTGTTCAAGAATAAGAATAATAATAAAGATTTGATTGGCACCTACAAGTCCAATCAAGGTTGGGTAAACACTTGTAAGATCTACTAGTTAGGTCTTATTGGCCCCTGTAAGTTCAATTGTTTAGGTATTGCAAGCACTTAGAAGGCTTGCTGATTGTAAAGACTTTTTTGGTGCTGTGAAGTCTAGCAAGTTAGTAGAAATCCTCAAGGGTGGCTTSAGGTAGAGGATTTAGTCAAGGGTTTTCGCCGAACCTTTATAAAAATTTGTGTGCATTGTCTTTTCTTCTTCTTTCTGCTTCTCTCTACTCTATCCCTTAAGTTCTCACAATTACTTACACTCATTGCTTTCACTAAGTACTAATACAAGTAATTTGACTTCTAGCAACGAACAAAACTATCATTAGAAGTCCTTAAAACCATTGTTAGAGGCCTGTAGCAACAATCTTGCTATGGACATAAATCCGTTGCAACTTCTACTGTGGCAATAGGATCTTGCAATAGTTTAGAAAAACCGTTTCTAGAAATTTCATTTAGCAACGAATATAAGCATTTGCAACGAAAACTAATTATGTTATTGCTAGAACATGTATAGCAACATCTAGAACCATAGCTAAAAGTCCACCAGAACATATTTAATAAATATATAGTAACAATTATAAATATGTTATAACAGTTTTTGTATAAAATCATTGCTAGAAACTATCATGAGCAACAATTTCCATATAGAACCATTGCTAGAAACTTCTTATAGCAGTGACTTTCATATAAAACCATTTATAGAAAATACCTCTAAAAATAGCTTTAGTATTGAATTGTTGCTAGAAAATATCTCTAGCGATAGTTTTTGTATCGAACTATTGTTAGAAAATATCTTTAACAAAGGTTTTTGTATAGAACTATTGCTAAAAACTATCTCTACCAACTATTTTTATATTGAACTATTGCTAGAAAATATTTATAGCAACGGCTTTTGTATAAAAATAGTTGCTAGAAAATATCTCTAACAACGATTTTTGTATCAAACTATTGCTAGAAAATATCTTTAACTTTGACTTTTCATTATAATTGTTGCTAAAGACACTATTGGCATCACTTTATTGTAAGGACCATAGCTAGAATCTATCTCTAGCAACGATTTTCCATTAAAAATCATTGGTAAAATCTCTATTTTGAGGGGGGAAATGTTGGTTAATGGGATTTTGGTTCCTATTGGCCAAGACACCCAAGTTCACTTTTCAGATTTATGTGGGGTCCATGAAAATTTTATTTTCCCTAAGTATCACTTACTCACCTGTCTCTGGTTAAATTACTTTCTCACTTGGGGAAAAGTTGCCAATAGTTGGATGGACAAAATTTTTCCTTTTAATAATGGTTTTTTTATTGCTAGAAGGATCATTGTCTTATTTATGTAGGAAATAAAAGAGCATGGGTAAATGTACTTTATCCAGGTAAATGCTTTTTGGGAAATACTTACTCAGGTAAATGCATTTACTTGGATAAGTAACTTGGCAAAAAGTGAACCAATCCTTAATGTTGTGTTTGGCTTGAAGGAAAAAGTAGGGAAATGAAGGGAAAGGCATGGAAACCTTTACAAACCTTGTATAGCTTTCCCTACCTTTTCCTTCAAACCAAACATAGCCTAAGGCAAATTCTGGAATAAGGAAAAACATTGTAAACTTTATGCTATGAGAGTACATTTCAATTGTGACCACACAACCCCTTTTATTGGCACAAGTACTACTTTCCCATGTTCCACTAGATGACTTCAACTCCCATAAAATTTGAAGCTGATGTTTTCTTATACCCTATGAGTCTAAAAGGCCATTATAATCTCAGAATTAATAATAGTTGTTTTTATTTATCAAAAAATAATTAACCGGATGCATAATGCAGACCATGATCTGTAGATGGATTCTTTGTCAGCCATCTTATGTGATTAGCATTATGGATTGATTTGATTAAATTCAGTTGGTTCACTCAAGCATTTCTTCCAAGGGATCAGGGCTGGACACCTATAATGCCCGACTTTTAGGCTTTCTTTTTCAGAGTTTGGATCTACTGATCACAATACATTACTGGTCACGCACATCCTGCCGCATATCAGGAACATTAATTATACTTTAAAACATTGATATTCCTGATGTATAACTAAAAGTGCGTGACCAACAATGTATTGTGATCAGCAGATCCGAACTCTCTTTTTGATGGGTTGACAAGGACCATGTTTCGTTTCTGCCCTTCAGCGCTTGTTCTTCCATGGAAGGAGAGAAAGCAACAGCTGATAAAGCCATCCACTTTTGCTACGACATGGTTTTAGCCTTGCCTTCAATATTCCCTTGTGACCCCACCTTAAATTAAATGAAGTGCTATCAATGTGGGGCCACAACAATGCAATGGAAGGCCATCATCATTCACCTCTGAACCAATAATAAAGACACGCTGTCCTTACTATCATGAAAAATTTTAGATTCCCAGTCATTCATGGCAATTAGAATGACTATTTCTTCTAGCATTCCCCATAACAAAGCTCACGTAGAGGAGTTCCCATTTCCGACCCATAAGGGGCCGCCCCATAGCACATTCCCGCTGTGTATTGGAAATATCTCCCGATAATATCATTGGGATTGATACTATCGATCATCGGAAGATGTTTTCAATACACGGCGGAGATGTGCTGTAGAGTGTTGTGGGGTGGCCCCTAGTGAAAGGAGATGTGATCTCCAGATAAAGAACTATGAGCACATTCACATCCAATCACCTCAAAATCCTAAAATTTAAAAGATTAAGATATTAGATTTCTAAAAACCCTAAATCAATCTGTAAACCCTAATTTTAAAATCCTCAATTTCAATTAAAATTGCATTTTTAGTCGAACACAATTCCTGTAACCAGGTAAGAGCCAGTAATTTTTGCAGAGTTGTCATCACACTAATAAAAAGCTCAACCTTCCCAAGTAAGGCTGGAGGAACTTATAATAAATTTTTGAGTTTACTGTGACCATGGTCACAGCACAAAATCTTGTGACCATCTGAAAAAAATAGATGGCAATGTTTAATCTGGGATCTTGTCCCTATTTCATTGGACATAGCAAGATTTTGCTGTTCYTCTGGCTAGAGAAGATTTAATTTAAGATGGTAAATACCACTATCCGTGTATTAAAACCATTCTAATTCGTAAAGTCAGAGTTTCGATCTACTATTCAAGAGGAAGTCAAAGTAACATCTGCCCTCCACAGAATGCGTCTCAATAATGTGTACGTGGGGTGTTTTGGGGGAGCATTTTGTGGGGGCAGATGTGAACTCTTCACTGAACATGCCTCACACCGAACTCACAGCATTTCAGTACATTGGAAACATTTCCGATAAAAATTTATAATTATGGAGATATTTCAAATGAACGGCTGGTTAACCGGGACCCGTAATAGTTGTCTGCTCCGCTCACTATTCAAACCATACAGCTGTGACCATAGTAACAGCATTTTCCTGTAACAGACCAATGAAACATAAACATGCTTAGTGACCCAAAAGCTGCCACGCCAATTGCTAAATTTTATTTTAATTATAAAATGGTCAAAAATGAAACTCGGCCGAAACTTGAGTGCGACTCAGTTCTACCAGGGAGAACGAGTCACTCCACACTTGAAGGCTGAAGCGTTGTCTCTGTTTCACGCTTGTGATTCTCCGCAACCGAGTCGACTGAGTCACCACCATCCTTCCCTGCATGCTCTTCATTGCGATATTCTGCAACTGGGTCTTCTTCCTTCTTCGGTTCCTCCTTTGGTTGTTCGACCTCAACCTGTGAATCCTCTTCATCCGCGTTCGTCAATCGCCGCTTCATTTCGTCGATCACATTCTTCATCCCCATCTCTGCGTCGTCCTCGCAACTCATGAAAATCTCGGCAATGTGAGCCGGCGTCATCTTGACCAGAGGCAACACTTCCTTCGCCTCCTTCATCAGCTTGTGATCGTCGATTTCGAGGTAGTTCTTGGCGAGCGTCTTGAACGCATTGAACTCGCAGTAAGAGAGGTTGATGTGCTTGTCCATCCGGCCAGCCCGAAGCAGAGCTGGGTCGAGCTTCTCCTTGTGGTTGGTTGTGAAGATCATCAGTCTCTCTCCGCCACAAGAAGACCAAAGCCCATCGACGAAGTTCAGAACCCCAGATAGACTAACAGTGCTTCCGAAGCTATTACTTCCTCTGCCGTTGTGACTCCTCTGTCTCCACCACCTCTTCTCTTCTCCATATTTCTCATTCTCTTCCACCTCAAAGCTTTCCTTCTTCTTCCGATCTGAAAGATCAAGAGAACAGTCGACGTCTTCCACGACGATCACCGATTTGCTGGAAGTCGAGATCAGGAGCTTCCTCAGCTGTGAATTACTCGACACAGCCGTTAATTCCAGGTCATAGATATCGAATTCGAGGAAATTCGCAATGGCAGCGATCAGGCTTGTCTTTCCAGTTCCCGGCGGGCCGTACAGAAGGTACCCTCTCTTCCAAGCCCGCCCTACTCGGCTGTAGAACTCCCTCCTGTTTACGAACTTCATCAAATCTTCCTTAATCTCCTTTTTCAGAGCTGGGTCGATCGCCACCGTGTCGAAGGTCGAGGGATGTGAAAAGGGTACAGACGACCAGAGCCGTCCGTCTTCATCGGCGGAGCGGTTGGTGTAGAGCTTCCTCTCTCTGGTCTTGAACTTGATGACCTCAGCAACCTCCATTATGTGTGGGATGTAAGAAGATTGAACCCTGTGCTTATACTTGCGGTGGAAAGAGAGCTCGAAGTATCGATTCTCATGGGGTCTGGCGTAACCCAGTCCGCTGGATTTCTTCTCGACACAGTGGAAGGACCACTTGACTTTGATGTCCTCGAAGGTCTCCTCGAGCTTCTGGTTGGCATCCATGGAGAAGGTGAGGTTCTTGGAGTTCCTGGATTTGGCGAGTTTGAGGACCTGAGCTGAGGAAAAGCATTTGGAGCTGAGATAGAGCTGGACAGCGTCGTAGATGTCGTTGTTGTAGGAGTTGTCGTACTCTTCAATAAGAATGGAGATTTTGGGTTGCAGAGAAGTGAAAATGTTTAAGAAGAGGCGTTTCAGGACTTGATAGACTTCCGGAGGGAGGAAGTCATGAATTGCAGTTCGGATAAACACGAAAGTTGCAAGCAGAGAACCAATCGATTTCCAGTCCAGGATAAACTCCATTATTGGTTGCTCCCAGCAGCAAGCAAAATCCAAACCAGATAAATGATGAAAATCGCCACGCTTATCAAGGGAGTACTGTCAGACTGTGCAGTGGAAAGGCAGAGATAAAGTAGGAGGTAGAAGTAGAAAAGGATGAATGAATCTTGAGGACTCTATGGAATCACCCAAGAAAACAGAAAAGATGAAACCTTGAGTAGAGTTTTGAGTTCGGGTGAAGGGGAAGGTTCTCTGAAGTTGCGCTTTGCTTTTCATCTTTTCCTGGCTTTATATTTGTTATTTTGTGCCTTTTTACTAGTCCAAAAGGATTGGCCTTGATGAGTAGGAACGAGAAGGAAAATGAAAGCTTCATTTCTTTCACACCGCCATTATTTTGACGAATTTGTTACAGTTAGTCATGAATAACTAATGACTGTATTGGTTAAATCCCCCTTAATCTTATCTTTCAAGGTTGCAACCCAAAAGGGATTTAATTCGAATTTGAATTGGACCTCATCCATCGGATTTATACTGCAATTAGAATTTTGATTGCAATTGGATATTGAATGGTATAAATAAATTAAATTAAATATGATTTTGATATTTATTTTTATTTGTATGAAACTCAAACATAAAACAATTTCGTAAAATACAACATTCAAACCAACCTTACAAATTTAAATCGAATTGGATAGAGGTGGGTCATATTTGATCCAATTATAAATGGATCAAATTTCGATCGCCATTAAATTTATTAATGGGTTCCAACCTAAATTCACCATTTTCTAATTTTAGAAAATGACAATAAGTTACCATTTCGTAAGTGGGCCTGTTAGGCGAATGTACTAAAATGTTGTATAAAATAAAAATTTTGTATATTTTGATAACCTAGGGACTATGGTCGCCTAGCAATAGAAAAGCCTGGGAATAATGCACGATGGGTCAGTGTGGGTTTTGTTGGGCCCGCCAAGTTGCACCCCTTTGTATTCTAGGGTCTCTCTCTCTTTCTCTCTGGTTAAAAATCTACTATTTTATATGTTATAAGGATTTTGAATTGGATGATTTGTACAATTTTCTTGCTGCAAATTTGTATTCATTTTATTTTAGATGTTATAATTAAGGATTTTTATTGTGGTAGTTGTTTCCTTTGCTAACCAAACTAAAAATCCGGAGATCAAGGTTCAAAATTTCGTCATGCATCATATGGCTGTTCATAAGAAGGCCCAACCCGATCAAACCGACTAACTCGGACCAATCCAACTCGAGTCGGCTAAGTTTTCATCAGCATGGGTTGGTTTCGAGTTGTGCAAATTCCTAAACCGATCCGAACCGAACCGACTTAGTTCCTAGTTCAAACATGAAGTTCCAAAGTCCACTAGGCCACCTAGTTTTTGAATGRTTGCAAGAAACTTCGGATTAATGAATAGTGATTAATGAACAACTTTTGTGATTAACTTTTCATTTAAATTTTATCATAGGAGATGGCTGAAATGATGTCCAATTTATGACTGTTTTTAAAATTAGCAAGATTTTATCACATGGATGAACTTAGAACCGAAACCGACCCAATCCGACTCAAACCGACCAGGTCGGTTTTGCTTAAAATTGGGCCGGTTTCAGTTTCTATGTCAGGTAACCCGACCAAGTCGGGTCGGTTGGAAAAACCGCAATAAACCGACCCAACCCGACCCATGAACAGCCCTAATGCATTGGAAGATATTTCTGAAAACTATTTGTTTTATATGTTAAATAATTTTAATTTTCACGCTTAAAATAATAAGACTTTAATTGTACTTTCTTTTTTCTTCCTTTCTTCTTTTTTTTTTTTTCTTTTCTTGTTGAATTAAAAGCTTGTCCACACTCAATACGTAGAAACTTAATTGTATGTATGCATATTGCTTGAAATCCACTATCCAAATGGCAARTCAATAGGTTAGAATGAAACCTATTGACTTATTATTTTAATGCTTAATGGTTGTTTCTAAAATAGTTAAGAATGAGTTTTACATTTTATAATTCTATCAATCCATCGATCTTTTACATGCATTAAAATTCTATCAACCTATGAGGTGGCAAATTGGGTTTAGGGCCACAATTGCACCAAGAATTCCTCTCACTCATCGAAACTGAACTTATACTTTCAGCTTCTCCAAAACATCGAATCAGCCAATTCGGTTAATCAGTTTTTTCAGTTTGATTCGGTTTTTCCATTTTTATGAGCACCCTATTTGGTACATCTATTCGCACGGGCTGTTGGCTTTTTAGAAGCCCAGAAGCCTGTGTTTTTGTTTTTTCTCATTTGGTTGGGAAAAAATCTAGTCCTCGAAAGCTATAATACCAAAAAGGCACAGGAGCCCGTTTTGGTCTATTTTTGGGAAGCTCCAAATGAAGTTTTTCGCCTTTTTTCAATTTGTCTTCGCATGAAAAAGYACATGAAAAGATACGTCTTAACCAGACAGTCTTCAAACTGCTAAGATCCTAATACAAAAACTCAAATCATCTTTTGGTTGTCAGGTCTCCCCATAAGATCTTCGAAAAAAGACTTGTCAAACTGCCACCTTACAAAATCATACATGTTTTTATTTTTAATATTTTTAATTTTTGGTTGGAAAACCATACTTAGGTTGACTTTCATACCAAAGGGTCTGAATTCCTGTATCTTGGGAATTAAGATCCATCATAAACCAGCTTAGCTTTTGTTTTTTTTTCTGTTTTTTTTCATTTTACTTTTTAAACTAGTTGGGAACCAACTCAAACACTGCTTTTGAATTAATTTAAATTTTTATTTTTAGTTATTTAGTTATCATTAAATTAAATTTTTAATTCATTATATTGAAAATATTCTAATTATTCTTACAATTTTTGTTAGTGTAATTAATTATTTGTACAAGAAATAAATAGAATTTATTTCAAATTTATATGCTGGTCAAAGTAAAATTGACTACAAAAATTTTGAAAAAAAAAGAAAATGATTTAAAGGTGGATATTGCATGTTGGCTAATGATGGTGTGTATTGCCATAATAGACCAGATCTAAAGCTTCATCCCAATGTTGGCTAGTCGAGTCGTAATTTAGGCAGGTGGTTTGATCATATGGTTTTTAATGGTTCATCATTAACAAAGCACAGTCTAAAACCAAGTCAAATTGCACCCATTTTAGTCATCATCTTCACTTGAATGCACAAAATGGGTTATGTGCTATTCAATAACAGATTACTAGCTCTTTTGTTTTGTTAAGGCTGCGTTTGGAAGCAATGTAAGATGCCATTAATGTAAAAGTTTATGTCGGTTCAGTTTCGTTGGCATTTGGATGGAGTGTAAATCAAGATTGATGTAAAATTTCATTCTCGATTCAGATTTATTAGCGTTTGAATAGAGTGGAGTTTTACATCGTAAATCAATGTAAAACCTCATATGAAATAAAATTTTACATCGATTATCGATATAAATACTACATCAATAAAATCGATGTAAAATGCCGCTTTTTTCAAAACTCAATGATCASAACCATTTTATGGTTTGGTGTGGGCACTACAAAAAGTAACTGCTTTTCATGACGTTTGTTTTGTGCCGTTTAAAACAAACGTCGTCAAAATTCAATGTTTTCGTGACGTTTTTAATAAACGTCATAGAATGTTTAGTTTTCGTGACATTTATCTTAAATGGCGTTAAAACTTGATTTTTTGTGACAATACTAAATTTTATTGTGACATTTGATTTAAACGTCACTAAAACATCTTTGTGACAATCCAGTTAAGTGTCACAAAAAAGTGAAAAATAAATGTCGCTAAATATATATACATATACCACAATTAAACTTTATTGCGGCATTTGACTTAAACGTCACTAAAACATCTTTCTCGCTATCACCAAATGTTTTTTGTGACAATTGAACTAAATGTCACAAAAAAAGTAAAACTAAATAACGCTAAAATTTAGGGGTGAGGAAAAAAAACCAGARAACCGAACCAACTGAAAAGGCCGACCAAAATTGAATTGAAAAATCGGTTAACCGAATAGAAAATCGGTGGTTAACCGAACCGACTGGTATACATATATTTCTATATATTATATATATATATGTATATTATATTATATATATTTAATATTTTTTATAAATTAATATGCATTATATATATTTATAATATATGATATATTAGTTATTATTTAAAATATAATATTTCATATATTTTTATAATTTTTATTATATATTTATATAATATATATTGTAAAAATAAAAAATCAAAAAACCGACGAACTGAACCAATAATTAATCAAACTGGTCAATCGGTTAACCGATTGGTTTCAATTCGGTTTCGGTTACTGGTAGTACCAGTTCGATTAATCGAACTGTGAGCACCCCTACTAAAAATGAATCTTTGATGACATTTATTTTACAAATGTCACAAAAAATATACCTCTACCTAGAGGTGTAACTCGGGCCAACATGACATTTATTTTTTTTACAAAATTAAAAAAATTATTATTTAAGGCCAAAAAAGGTTTTTTTTTTTTGCAAAAATATTGTGTCAAGGAGCCTACAACCTAATGGGATACATAAATATTAGAAAATTACCTAAAATAAAAAAAAAAATCATATCTAAGCACAATGCTATGGCCTTTGGAAGTATGCATACACTTGGGATGAAACTGCCAATGGTCCAATTGCTTGGGTTAAACAATGTTTTATCCATGGTTTTAAAAAATGACCCAGAAATAGAACCGTTCTAACCACTAGTTTCTGGATCAACAGTTCGACTGTCTAGTTCGAATGGACGACCCATGCTCACAAAAAATCAAAACAATAATTAAAAATAAAAAACAGCCAAAACCGTTGAACAGGTCAATGGGTCGTTGACTTATTCAACAGCTTTTGTCCAAGGACCAGGGCAATCAGTTTGACCCAATGGACTTAATTATAATAAACCTATTGAAAATATTATATATGTAATATAATTTATTTAATATATTATACATTTAATACATTGTGTATATATATTAAATTATACATACATACATACATACATACATACATACATACATACATGTATATATATATATATTAAAGTATTATATATACTTAATTCATATATATGTGTAATATATAAAATATAATTTAATATATGGCTCGGGTTGGGTCTGAATCAGTTCAAAACATATAAGTTGGAATTGGTTCCGATTTGATAAGCAGTGTTTTTAACCCACTGTTGGCCTAACTAGTTGAACCATTCGAGCCATCACCCGACTAGGATTTTGGGGTCTACTTCTATTAAAACCCATTTAGTCAACCAAAAACCATTCAACTCAATTAGTTCAATTGTCAACCCGTTCGATCTAGTGTTTTCAACCCAG